GCCGTTAGCCTCGAATTGCCAAAATCGCATGCACTTGTGCGACCACGCGACGATTGCGATGATCATAATTCTCCATGGAATTTCGGTAGTTCAAAGAAATTTTCGGTGACAGAAGCCTCTTGACGCCCGAAGCTAGAAGGTGCCGCAAACTTTGTGAGCGGCGCTGGAGTGACGCGGCGTCGGTGTCAAAAGGCCGGCGTTACCGAGCGACCACATGGCAATAGAGTTTGCGCCACATTTAGCAGCACGCAAGACACCCGCTAGCTCAGACAGGAGCGGACGATGTCTGTGGTCGCCGATGGCTCGCGCTGGGCTGAACGATTGAACTGGGCGGGATGATTTGCCCGAAGATTTGACGTTGGGCTGAAGCGACGAACGTGCACAAAGGCCTGTGATAAATCCGGTGAAAGGCGGGAAGGTTCGGAATCAAGTCCGCAACGACTCTTGCTACTGAGTATGTATTCAGGCTATATTGGACGGCTGATCCCCAAGCCGGCCTGTTTCCCATCCCTATACCACAAAGATGTACCCGCGACTGCTACTGGAGCATCGCCGCCAGTGTATCATACGCTACCCCTTTTTGTTGAACTGCTTCAGCTTGTCCTGCACGGCTTGCTTGAGATCAAATCCTTGCATCACGCTGCCCCTCCTCTTCCTTTGCTCGATCTCAGCCTTGACTTCGGCCACGATCTCGTCAATCTCCGCCTCGGGATCATCCGCAATACCCAGGAGAGGCATCTTGGCGTGACTCTTGACACTGTCTGACGAGTTGGTCCTCGCTAGCCTTTCTCGTCGAATCTCTTCCCGTGCTGCCTTCTCAATGGCAGGATCATCGTATGTGGTGGCTGCCGCTGGGGGCGCACGAGCCGTCTGAAGTTGAACGAGCTGCTTGCGGATGGGGAACGACCGCGAAAAGACAGCAAATGATCCGGCCACACCGATGAGAGTGTAGAAGTAAACCCGTGCCCAGATCTTGATCGTATCCGAAAAGCCAAGAAGGATGAAGGGAGCGACTACGAACGCAAACACAGTCTGTGTAAGGACGACGCAGAAGAGGTCGTAGTATCGCTTCGAAGGTAGAGGTGATTTCCCGTCTGGCGTCATGAACAGCGGACGGATCAATCGGCGGCCATCTGGTGAATGTCAGCATGAAAGCAGATAGCGCATCATCAGAGACCTACTCTTCGCAGCAGTTTGTACAAGAGCTGCCAGAATGAACGCCATGTAGTAGCCAGGGTAGAATCCATGCCAGAATGCGCTAGTCACAAATGTGGCAAGCGTAGCCCTGAAGCCAGGTTTCTGTCCCTTTGGTGTCACACGAAGATACATGTAGTTCTTCAGCCAAGTGTTGGTGTTGATGTTCCAGAAACCAAGGTAAGCACGAGCATTCTGCGCGGCCTCAATCTCGAGTGGCTTGATGTTGGTGAGACGGTCCCATTTAGCTCGACCAGTTTTGGGGTCAAGACCGTTGTAGCCGATTCCGGAAAGGATACAAGATCCCTCAGATAGACTCCAAACTGCGTAGTACTTCATACGCGTGGTAAGACCAAGCATGTAGAGCTGCCAGATCCTGCGGTAAAAGTTGTATTGCATGTATTCATCCCCGAGGTAGAATTCAGGGTAGTACCAGCTGGAGAATTTGATGAATGCGACCAGCCAGAGAGTTCCGTAGACTCCTTTGGTTACGGCAGGCATGCCGCTGCGAGGAATCTTCCGCTTCTTGCGCGTTGGGGGTGCCTTGGACGGATCGGTGCCTGGTGGGAGGGTGAACATGGTCGTAGTGATGTACTGACTGTAATCGGCGTAGTCAAAGGCTGGACCAGCCATGAGGGCAGGAAAGAAAAAGACATAGCCGACGTAGTCGATCATGCTGGGCATTGTCCGGATAGCGTGGGCGCGCTGTTGTTCGGAAAGCTCGGAGTCCGGAAGACGACCATCCTGGACGTTCCAGCAGAAAGCAGTCAGCTTCATGACGAGGACCATCTGAGCTCCGGTGATGTCAAAGACGGATGGGTCATTCACGGCTTGTCGGTAAATGTGATTCACCGACATGTGGCCCATAAGGAATACGAATCCGATCCATGGCATGTACGGCGAATGAATTTTGGAAGAGATGAGGTAGGCCCCGCCAGCACTGATGAATATAGTTCGCAGGCCGGTCCATAAGTCAAAAAGGCCAACAAGGTAGAACATGGAGACGCTGGAGCCATTAACACCAATTCATCCAAAGCAAGATTTGATGAGCCTCACGTAATGACGAAGACATTCTTCTTCCATGGGTCCTTGTCGGGAATCCTTTTCAACACGGCAGCTAGAGGATACGACAGGTAGAATGAGAAAATGAGCTTGACTGGGTGGAGTCAGCACAACATCAGCCACATGTGCCATGCGAGATCTTACGCTCATCAGCCGAATTTCCAAGCGCACCAGCCACATATTCAAAAGCTTCACCATGGTCAGTATTGGTGGTAGTGGCTCAGTCAGCTAACACGTACGTGCGTTGATGTAGGGCAGCATGGTGCCAACTGTCAAGTGGACTTGAGTCCAAACCCAGGAGACAAGAAGAGAACCAGAAGCGGTGAGAGTTGAGAACAGCGGTATTATATGGAAGGCATCGGTCCTGTGTCGGGCGGCGGAAAGTTAAGTGAGAGTATGCAGACGCAGGTGCATGGTGGGTGAGCAGCCAAGATGACGTCGGGGCACGTTTGCCGAGGCCCGTGCAGGGCAGCTCAGCGCTCACTGGCCAACAAATTCGCGATAGAGTTGGGACGCGACTTCGCGAATCCTCCACAGGCGCAACCACGGCGATAACGCCCTGATAACGCCCTCGATAACGCACCTCGATCACGGAACTCCGTCGCCGACATGGCCACGACATACAACCTCGAGCCGAACCCGACGGCCAAAGTCGTCCTGCACACGACCACGGGCGATCTCGAGATCGAGCTCTTCGCCAAGCAGACGCCCATCACGTCGCGCAACTTCCTGCAGCTGTGTCTCGATGGCTACTACGACAACACCGTCTTCCACCGCCTGGTCAAGGGCTTCATCATCCAGGGCGGCGACCCCACGGGCACGGGGCAGGGCGGAGAGAGCAGCTACGATGGCGAGCCTTTTGCCGACGAGTTCCACAGCCGGCTGAAGTACACGCGACGCGGACTGCTGGGCATGGCCAACACGGGCAAGAAGGACGACAATGGCAGCCAGTTCTTCTTCACCCTCGCAGCCACGCCAGAGCTGCAGGGCAAGAACACCATGTTCGGCAGGGTAGCCGGCGACACCATCTACAACCTCATGAAGATGGCCGAGGCTGAGATACGGGACGGCAGCGACGACCAGCCCATGTACCCCACCAAGGTCACGGGTGCCGAGATCATCATAAACCCGTTCGAGGACATGGTCAAGAGGGTCCAGGTGGCTACGACGAATGAGTCCGAGACCAAGAAGCCCAAGAAGGCGAAGAGGAAGGCTGGCAAGAACGTGCTCAGCTTTGGCGATGAAGCCGAGGCTGATGCGGCGCCGGTCGCGAAGAAGCCCAAGTTCAACACCAAGCTAGTCAGCGCAGGAGAGGAGAAAGCTGCATCCAAAGCACCCGAGGAGACGAGAGAGATACCCATACGCAAACCGTCGCGAAAGTCACCGCCACGATCCCCATCGCCCAAACCTGCACACAATGCCACTCCCAAATCACCGCCCAAACCCAAAGCGCGCACCCCACCACGAGAACTCTCGCCTGAATCCGAGAAGCGATCGAAGCTAGACCGCGTCAACCAGCAGATTGCCGACCTGAAGGCATCTATGAAGCGGAACACAGCTGCCCAAGACACAGGGCCAGCCAAGAAGAAGTCGCTACTGGAATCAATGGTACCATCGACTACAACACGGGGACGGAAACGCGGCGCAGGCGGCAATGCAAAGGACGAACAGTCAGCGCTGGACATTCTCAACCGCTTCAAATCAAAGCTGGACTCGGCAGACTCCACCGCCGCCACGAAAATGGACACTCCAACATTACCAGAGGAAGCACCGAGCAACCGAGGCAATGGAGACGCAAACGGAGCCGACGAAGAAGAAGAAGGTGCATGTGATCTACATTTCATAGTAGGATGCCAGTCCTGTAAAGCCTGGGACAAGCAGGATGAGGAGGAGTCAGACGACGACGCGGGGTGGATGTCGCATTCGCTCAGTTTTGCAAAGGACAGGTTAGGCAAAGACCTGGAGTGGAAGCGGAAGAACGAAGAAGAGTTGCTGGTTATCGACCCAAGAGAGGAGGCAAAACGGCATAAAGCCGAAGGCAAAAAGGACAAAAAAGTGCGCGAGGATGCAAAGACTACCAAGGCCAAGGCTTAATGTAATTTCGATACCCAGATTTTGCGTTCGATCAGAGAGGACTGGTCAACGTCTCGCGACATATGGATGAACTGGATATGCAGTCTATCTGCTCGAGCACGGTACCGTGACGAAATACCCATGATATTGCGCCCGTTACATTGATCTGTAGTTCCATAGCCCGCGTTCCGCATCGGTCTTGTCGTATGCCTTTGAGTTTGCGTGCCTTCACCACGTCACGCACGTGGAAGACACGCGGGCGGTGTGGATGCAGAGAGAGTAGCGGCCTGAGATGCGTCCTTCCGTGCCTGGCCGCCACCTTCACTGTTCCCAGCGTATATATTGGACCTTCTGTCACCTGGACTCTGCTCACACACACTCTACCACCCTAACAACAGTTCAATATCAACAGCCTCTATCATCTAGACTCTGATCCCACACACCAGCTTCACCAACCATCTCCAATAAGTAAGTTCTTTCCTGCCCACCATTCCCCCAGGTGAGCGGACTCGCGCCTTGAAGAGTGGTCGCAACAGCTCATCATAGCCGCTCATAACCTCGCCTATGCGCTTCCTGGCTATTATAGCTGGAAACAATCGCTATCACATCCAAGCGCCTGGGACATCACACGACATCCAGCCGTACTAACACTTACCAGACCTATATCAACCATGACAGAATGGGATTGGGACGAAGAGACATGGGCAAACTATTGCATCCAGATGCTCATGCACTACCCAGATGTTTGTTTACACGTGGCAAACCGGTCTCATTGTCCATACTGACTGAAGCCTTACTCCAGTACGACCTCCACGAGTTTGCGCGTGAAATCGAGGATGACACACCAGCACGCGAGATCGACAAGCGCATCCGCCGCTGGAAGAAGGAGGCCGCCGCTCTCAAGGACAAGGCCGCTGGTGGCGACGGTATCATCGAGAGCTCTAAAAAGTCCAAGAAGAAGAAGAAGAAGGTCAAGTCTGGTCAGAGCAAGGGTGGTGAGTGTTGCATCTCGCTAATCCCTCATGTCGCATTACTGACTGGATGTGCAGGCGTCAAGACAGGCCGCGTCAAGAAGAAGAAGGCCGCCGATGCCCCCAAGATCAAGCCTGAGCGCATTCCTGAGGATGAGGGTATGGAGGGTATGGAGGGTACTGTTGGGGAGGATAGCGATGGTGTTGACGAGGGCGTTGACGAGATTGAGGAGGTCTAGATGATTTGGCGTCTTGGGTGCTGCCACTACTCGCTGTCCATGTTTGACAGAGCCCTTGTCACATACTTGCGCTGCTTCACGCGCTGAGACCACAAATCAAAAGTTTCAATTCTAGTAAATCTATTGCTCGTGCAGAAGTTCACGTCAATCATAATGCATCCTCATTCCGAGAGGCACACTTTATCGTTAACATGCCGTACTAACGCATGTTAAGTTAGCATGTCAGACACGATGAGAACGCGGTGGGCAGGACCAACTTTATAATCAGACCCCTTCTAGCCACTGAGAAGATGCTGAGTCAGCCTAGCGTCACGCACTGCAAAGGCTAATGCTCGTCGCACAGTATTTACAGCTCCAGACAATAGGCATTCAAACCCTTAGACGCTCTTATATATCTAGAAATGTTGCAACGTCTTTATTCTAGTGTTCTAAGTTGGACTTGCAAGGACGTGTGTGGCTTTTTCTGTATGCGAACACGAACACTATGAGAAGTTTCTGTATGCAAACACACACTATGAGAAGTTTCTGTCTGCAAACCCGAACACTATGAGAACTTTCTGTATGCAAACACGAACACTATGAGAAGTTTCTGTCTGCAAATACAAACACTATGAGAAGTTTTTGTATGCAAACACGATCACTATGAGAAGTTTCTGTCTGCAATATGAGAAGTTTCTGTATGCAGACACGAACAATATGAGAAGTTTATCGGCGACGCCAAGATGCACACAGATTCTGTAATCACGTGCGCCTTCCACAAGCATTGAAAATCTGTCAGCACTGCAAACCCCTCATCGCATCGTCTGCAAAGCTTATCGCATTGTCTGCAATCTTATCGTATCGTCTGCAATCTTATCGCAGCGGCTGCAAAGCTTATCGGCCGCACGGGGATGCACGACACCACGAGTGCTTTGCCCAGACTCGATGCATATGGTGACTGCGCAAACAACACGGGAGCCCACTGCCCACGCTGGTACGCAGTTTCCACCAGCCGCCAAACCCCCCGACCGACTCCGACAGCATCCGCAGCTCCTGTACGATCACGGCGTTCGCACCATCTTCGTACAGACGCCCCCTCAAATACGAAGAACTCGTAGACGCAAGCGACGTACATGCACCATGGGGTACTCCATCGTACGACACCCACCGTACACGAGCAACGAGTCCACGCCTTCAAGCCCTTCGCGCTCACCAGACTCGCCTTCCATCAACATATTCTAGGCAGACAGTTGCGCAGGCATGGAAGGCTCTTACACACAAGCGACGTACACGCCGTCCAGCCCACTACAGCCAGAAAACGACCACATTCACCATGGGATCGGTGCAAAGGCGACTTTCCTGCGCATCTCGATCGACCGTCAAGACGAAGCAAGAGCCAAGCAAGACAGCCTCGATCAAACTACAGCAATGCGCCCAAGATCAACCCCACAGCAGTTGCAGCAGCTTGCCATTATGTCGCGCATAGCATGGCTGAAGCTGAGTTTCCTCTCATCGCGGTAGATGTAAGCGCATCACCGTCCTCCATCTGCTACACACGAACGCTGATCACATCTAGCTCTCAGCTTCTATACCACGAAAGATCTTAACTTTGATCATCAGCACTTTCGGCACGACCCGAGATCCATGTGGAATATACGCGGAGCATAGCTTTATTAACCCACAAAGTCCAGAGCCCTTCGCAGCGACAACACACTACTTCGGGCACCCAACGCCTCGCGCTCTCACCGCCTGCTGGCCGCTTTCACCTGCTCCTTCGATTGATAGAACCAGAGTTTTCTCGCTTAACGCCACCCTCTCACACACGCACACCACACAGACTTTCCCTTGATCACTCAGCAGCATCGTCAACGACCAGCAGCACCAAAGCTACCAGGCAACCCAATCTCACACAGCGGCCGCCGGTGACAACCGAGATGAGCACTGCCGCGCGGCGATCGCCGTCGAGTTCCTCAACAGCCAGCCAGAGTTCGGACTCTGAGCTCGCTGACTTCAGCCCGAGCACCTTCGACTTCGCGACCGACACTTTACCACAAGGTCTGAGATGGGTACCACCACAGTTCCGCCTCTGAGTTGGCCGACTTTAGCCCGAGCACCTTCGACTTCTCGACCGCCACTCTACCACAAGGACTGAGATGGATACCACCACATATCCGTTCGGCTATCATCTTCTCGATAAACACCGTCTCAACCTCAGTCGGGGGTCCAACGAACCGTTTCTATGATGGACAACCACATCTAGACCGGTAGATATTACACAAGCCGTAATGGCAAGAACCGTTGCACCTTTTGACGAGGCCGTGCTTCACGTCTCGAAAGACCACGCTCAGGCGGCAACGAAGCCTCTTACGAACCCCCTTCCGCAACCAGCAAGCGGATTTCCATCATGGACAACCGCGGTCAATGAACAAGCATGGACGAACAGCGAATGGACTGGTACGGCAGTGACGGCCGGATCTTTCTTCCTTTTCTAGGGTGACAGAATAGACCTGACTGAAAACTGCTCTTTCACGCCAGTAGACTTGTACGTCGGTCTTCCAAGCTGCGAGGTAGACACTAACGTTGAACAGCAAATCGCCACCACTATGGCAACGTTCCTCCACGATGAGACCAACTCCAGACGGAAGCAATGGGCGACCGTGAGCCGGAACCCCGGCACCTGGTCCCAGCACCCATGCGTTAGCAGTGCGGTCGTTGCCAAAGGACAAACCGACAGTTCCTGGGTCAGAGCAAATGGCGACCAGCTGTATGCTTGTGACACATGCATCAAGAAGAAGCGGCCGTGCTTCTGGATTGCATGGCTCTATGGTGAGGCGGGCCATACAATGGTATGGCGTCCGTAACGAGAACCGGTCGAATAAGATCAATAACCTGAACCTCAACGCAGAAGGAGTCAAGCCAACCGCCTTGCCCATCTCCATTGATCGGCAAGACGAAGCGAAGGCCAGAGCAAAGTTACCTCGTCTCGACTATCGCGAACAGCTTCGATTTGGCCTCACCGCTCTCGCAATGGCAGCATATGCTGAAGAGCGTGCCGACCGTCATTCCGTTGCCCAATCTACGACCTCGATCTTACGCTTGCAACGCTCCCCGAGCGTGAGTGGGTCCCTAAGCACACTCATCACGGCTTGTATCCAGGGCAGATAGTTATCGATGACTGGCTTGATATCTTTACTGTTACCGACAAAAGACTAGTCACGCATTTTTACTAGTACCGACAAAAGACCAGTCACATATTTTTACTGTTACCGACAAACAACTTCTTACACATTTTTACTGTTACCGACAAAAGACGAGTCACGCATTTTTACTGTTACCGACAAAAGACTAGTCACATTTTTACTGTTACCGACAAAAGACTTGTTACATTTTTACTAGTACCGACAAAAGACCAGTCACACATTTTTACTAGTACCGACAAAAGACTAGTCACACATTTTTACTAGTACCGACAAAAGACTAGTCACACATTTTTACTAGCACCGACAAAAGACTACAATAGCTCCAGCTTGTGTGAGGATCTGGAGGCTTCGTGGGGAAGACGAGGATTCTGTTGTATGGTGTCCTTTACCCCAAGACCTGCGGCAGGGTTCTACCTATACAGACATGCGGCAACATCGATAACCAAGAAGAGGAGGCCAGCCCCGAGGATGGAGACTTTGAGCAGAGCCCACAGCCCATGCCGCGGCCGTGCACCTACGTTGGGTATACTGTGTCTGTCTCACATCGCTTGCATCAGCATGACGCTGGAGACACTAGTTGGTTCCACCACATGGTGCAGGCTGCATTTCGCGAGGCCATTCACCAATAACAGCGGCCAGGCGTCCAAGCCGGCTCTGCAGGCTACCCTCTGGGGACTGCTGCAAGATCGGCTGAGAGAGGGAGTGGATGCCCAGCTAGAGTCTATCATAGAGAGCTGTGGAGGTGATGAGAGAAAGCAAGGTCGGGAGCTTGCCCGGTACGCGAATTCGCTCGCTGCCGGCGCGATGACTGAGTCGATCAGGTACCGTACCAGGGATTGATATGGGAGTTGTTTCTACTGGGTAGGCGCGATTTGCTGGGCGCTGGGGTCTGAATAGAGCGCCATTTCTCAGCAAGTGCCTCGATGAGCCAGCTATCAAGAAGTGGCTCGCGGAGAAATGGCGATACATTGTACAAGACTGTTCAGACGCCGAGGGTAAGTCACGCGGGGACCTTCCAAGTGAGACATGCTAATGCCCTTAGTATCTGGAAACGTCCTTGGAGCACACGATGGAGCTATCCTTGTAGCAACGCCACCCGTTGACCCAGTTCAGCTTGCTACGCTCACCAACCAGGTCATTGCACCAATCCAACTACCCAGCTACCTCGACCACAGACCAATAAAGATATTCAATTGCATTTCTCTCGACTGGCTTGCTGCATTCGATGAGTTCATGCTACGTGTGTTTGAAGCGATACTACGTTCACTGGATGTTCTTGAAGAATAGTCTCGCGACGCTGCCACAGGAGACGGATCCCGAGAATGGCCCGCTAACCACCCCACCTCGAATGCGATGGCGCCAAAGGTGGACATTAACCTAGAAGCGGTTCAGCGCGACAGGGTAGACTCTGCTGCTTTGCGCGACCTGTGCAGTGTTAAGATAATGTTTTAGGAGCCGTACAGCACCAGACAGCAGTGGCTGTGGCGGCTGTTTACATGGCCGCTATCCAGTATGCATTCTTGATAGCTGACTCAATGAGGCACTTGCTGCTGTCGTTCTCCAGCCACTGTTCCAGAGTCGTACCGTGGTTGTGCCTTTCTATCTACGAGTTCTTTTCGCATCAGTCTGTGGTTTTCTACGTGCGTGGGCAAAGCCTACGAGTTCTCCAGGCACCAGATTGGACGTATGGTGGATAGCTATATTCTACATGCGAAGTCTCCTCGCTTGGCCTTATCTTCTTGCAGGAGCCTATATTCAGCCTGTTGTCTTCTACCCACACTTTTCCCACGAGTCCTCCCGGTTCCACATGCTGGCCATCGTCCAACCGGTGGCGTGAGTCGATTCGCGATGCTTGTTCGAAGAACCATGAAGACACAGTCTGCTTGGGCCAGAAGATGTTGTATCGAGAAAGGTAGAGCCAATGCGCGATGCTTGTTCGAAGAACCATGAAGGCACAGTCTGCTTGGGCCAGAAGATGTTGTATCGAGAAAGGTAGAGCCAATGCGCGATGCTTGTTCGAAGAACCATGAAGACACAGTCTGCTTGGGCCAGAAGATGTTGTATCGAGAAAGGTAGAGCCACATCGCCAGTGCATATGGTGCCTCGTGGACACGTCCTCGCTGCTGGTCAAGGAAATCGCGAAAGCCCTTGTGGATGAGGAGACCGGAAGAGTCGTCGCATATGCAGACTGTATTGGTGCCATGCCAATCCTCGGGGCAGCCGTAACGCTCGTCAACGAACCTGTCCTTAGTCAGAAGACGACTAAAAGGAAGACGAGAATTAGGAGGAGGATGATGAAGACAGTAGTCTAGAGGAGTCTTCGCCTGAACACAGCCTCTATACGAAGTCCCCTCGCACCAACTTCGCCGCCTGGTAGAAACCCAGTCCTTGCCCTCGAATTCTCCTTGCATCAGGCTTGTTGCCTTCTACATACTGGCGCTTCTCTCTGAGTCCTCCTGGCGTCAGGCTCGCTGTGCAGTGGATCGTTAAAATCCATACACAAAGTCTCCCCGCATCAGTTTCACCGCCTGGTAGAAACCCAGTCTCTGCCCTCGAATTCTCTTTGCACCAGGCTCGTCGTCTGCTGTATCTCCCGACTTCGCACACATGTACTCCTGCCGAGGGGAGTATTCCGTGCTTGTGGATTGGCATCCAGCAGATGACACCTCAGCAGACGACACCTCAGCAGACCACACCAAAGAAGAAGACACCTCAAAAGAAGACCAGTACCACCAGATACAGGAAGACGAAGCAGCATAAGAATCAGCGACTGTCCGAAGACCCAGACGCTGAAGATGATGAAGATTCTTTCAAGATCGACATGTCAGACTCAACTTGGCAAGAACTCCCCCCGCACACCAGCGACGCTTTCTTGAGCAACAATTTCGCGAGCTCTGTCGCTGCACCAGCTCGTGGTTTGGATGGCCGGGAGCCCAATCAGGAACCTCTGGGGAACCTGAACGTGAAGGTGGTCGACATTCTTGACGGTGGCGAGTACTTTGTGCTCGTGGACTGGTCTCCGGAGCAGGACAAGCAGCTGGATTATTGGTTCAACCATCTCCGTTCGTCCGCTGAATTGTCGCGCTTGGAGGGTGTAATGGCGGCTGTTTGGTATATGCATTGTCCTGCCGCCGCGATCAAGACGACAACATCTCAAACTTTAGTGATGAGAGCGGCAAGATCTATAAGCAGGAAGACGACACATCTCCAACTTTGGTTATGAGAGCGAAGACATCAATAACCAGGAAGACAACAATATCTCCAACTTGTATGCTGAGAGCGGCAAGATCTATAACCAGGAAGACGACAACATCTCCAACTTTGGTTATGAGAGCGGAGACATCAATGACCAGGAAGACTACAACAGGTCTAGCTTGTATGCTGAGAGCGGCAATATCAAGCACACAGCTGTTGTTGACCACATCCGGCTCCTCATCGAATCGTTCGGCCGCAACAGGCGGACCTTGAGTCGCGAGCTGGTTGTGGCAGAATCTCCCTCGAAAGCTAGCGACGCTTTCTTGAGCGACAACTTCGCGAGCCCTGTCGTTGGTCCAACTCGTGATGAGATGAAGGAGAAAGACATCATGCGCGGTCTGTGTCACCCGACGCTCTGCTTTGTTGTAGTCAAAATTGTCGCACACATCGCTCAACGGCTCGTACATCTCATACTCGTAGTTCCTGTAGAAGAGATAAGAGGAATAAGAGGGCTTCAATACGCGAAATAATTCACCTACCGAGCTACCTCGACTTCACAGCAACGAGGACTTTTACAAATATTTCTCGCGAACAGTTTGCCGCATACCATGTGTATCTGCCAACGTACATCGATCTGAAGACGCATAAAAAGAAGGAATTGCACTAGGACCTCAAGGCTATAAGAATAAAAAAGAGAGCAGAAGGCTACAATGTGGTAGACAATAAGGGGAGGAGAAAGAAAGAGGAGAGCAGAGGATTACAATGTGCTTGACAAGAAGAAAAGAAAGAAGATAGGAGAGGACGGAGAACTACAAAATACAAGATAGATATAATAGAGAAAAGAAAGAGAAGGGCGGAGAACTACGATGTATTAGATAAGAAACAGAAGAATAAGATATAAGAGGGCAGAAGACTACAACGTGCTAGATAAGAAGAAGAGAAAGAAGATAGAAGAGGGCGGAGAACTACTATATACTAGATGAATATAATTAAGAAAAGAAAGAGAAGGGCAGAGAGCTACGATGTGTTGGATAAGAAATTAAGGAATAAGATATAAGAGGGTAGTAGACTACATTGTACTAGACAAGAAGAAGAGAAAGAAGATAGAAGAGGGCGGAGGGCTGTAACGCACTAGCTAAAGAGGACAGACAAATAGAGAAAAGGGGCAGAGGGCTACATTATGCTAGACAAAGACAGTAGAGACAGAGAAGAACAGGGCAGAGGACTACAATACAGTAGCCAAATAGAGTGGATAGATAGGAAAAGATGCCAGGTGGCTACATTATAGGATACGCTAAACGCTGGTTTCGCTACCTATAAAGGCCATTCAGATCACTCGCCCAAGGCCGTTGTCGGTCAGTTCCCACAGAAAGAAGGAGGAAAATGCATAGCGCAGCGACAAGCGCGAATGCGGTATCTGTTGGAACGCGAGTTCCCTGAGATAACAACCCAGGACCTTCGCCCATACTGGCTGCGCTCATACATATGGGAATGCGAGGAGGACTTTGTTGAAGTCTGGGTTCGCCTTAGTGAGAGGGGAGAGCTATCTCTTGCTGACAAAGGACAAGACGACAATTTTCCAATGCGGCGACGAGGACTGGGTGTTACGCGGTCGCAGCAAGAACGCTGTCAAGAATTGGGGCACGGAAGGTGTATGCCGCAGCGGCTGGGCGGCGGTGGTCACGGGAGAGATAGATGATTACATGGTATCCATGCAACGTTAAGATGGTGGCTATGTTGTACCAATACTCCTACAATGGCGCTCGGGGCGACTTTTCTGACCAGCAACTGGTCCCTAGATAAGTACACCTACTCCTGGTATACGTATGTATCCACTGCCAGCATGCTGAGATACTCCCGGTAGGGGCTACCGTAATCGCCAGAATGTGACACCACAGCGCATACCTCCAGGGTGCTCTCTACTGCAAGGGAAATCAGCTTCCTACGTACAATTGCTGACTTTGAGCGGATGTCACATCACGAAGACGTCGTTGGAGTAGAGATGAATTTATGATAATGCGGCTACGCTACGAAGTCTCCTCATCTCCCCGAGGTATCGCCTGTGTCGACAAGACGTCGAATGTAGATTTCTGGCGCGTATTTGCCGTTTGCTCGCACATGCCACATTCAATTCGGGTGGTGCAATATTGCAGAGGTCGTATAGCACGCTACCGCCTGATGCCCACTTCCCGAACAAGTCCTGTTGGGCGGCTACTAGAACAGTACCCGGGTGATATTCCATCGTGAAGATGATACGCAAGATGGCGCTTCTGTGATATGTGGGGTTCAGGCATTCTCTCTGGTGAACTCCAGTGTAGTCTGGCGAGAGGATGTATACGCCAGAGGTGGCCACAACGTCTCGCCACGCGCTCGTCGCTTCAGCGGCATGATTCGCCAGAGACATAGTTGCGAAGTCTCTTGGGTACCCGAAGGTACTGGTTGGGTGTGGGTGTGTCGCCGTCCTTGTCGACAAGATTCCGGATGTAGATTCCTGGTGCGTTCTTTTCCCCTGCGCGTATACGCCACGTAGACTCAGGGTCATGCAGAAAATGATGGAGATCCTCATCAGATCTGCTTGCGCGGCATGATTCGCTAGAGACATAGTTGCGAAGTCTCTTGGGTACCCAAAGGTACTGGTTGGGTGTGGGTGTGTCGCCGTCCTTGTCGACAAGATTCCGGATGTAGATTCCTGGTGCATTCTTTTCCCCGGCGCGTGTCCTCCACAAAGAGTCTGGGTCCTTCAAAAGGTGATGGATTTCCTCGTCAGATCTGCTTGCGCTGCAGAGATTGCCGCTGATGATCAAAGTCAAGATCTTTCGTGGTATGGAAGCTAGGAGCTAGGCTTTGTCAGAACTCGTTATCTAATAACTAGGGAATTTGTGAGCTTACGTAGACGAAAATGACAAGAAATTCGGTTTCCTCCATGGTGTGAAAAATCTTCCAAGCTTTGCGGCTGTGCTGAAGGAAGCGCGCTCGAGATCAGCTTCCACACTGTCGAGAAGTCTGGAGCCAGAAGGCTACGTGGACAGTGGCAACGTGAATAGACGATGATGATACTGAGGCGAGGGGACTTCGTAGCTAAAGGCTGGTATAAAACACACGCCGAGCGTGTCGCGAGGAGAACTCGGGTTTGAGACATAAATGATTACATCACGGCGTACCTGAGCCGCGGAGACTCCATGGCCTCCCACCACCGCCAAAAATCTACCCAGAGATGGGGCCTGATCGACGCAGAAGTTGCTAACAAGTGCCAGAAGCCGGAGAGGTGTCGCTCCGAACCAGAAGAGAGTCGTCTCATCTAGCACCGGCGCTGACGCAGGAATCGCCATCGGTAGCAGATGCCACCAACAACGGTTGACACGCTCTGAAGCCAGACGAGATGGCTCCAAGGCATATCACCGTGTAACCCGCTTCACCAGCCGACCGGGCAATCCAGGTACCAGGCCGTCTCTTTTTGATGCAAGTATCGCATGTATAGTTTTCGGCGTCGACGCAGGTACCGGCTCGCTTCCCTTTGGCAGTGATTGCGCTGCCGACGTATGGGTGTTGGCACCACGTCCCCGGGTTTCGACTGACGGTGGCCCATCGCCTCCGCCCGGTACTGTCTGTTCTCCCATTCTCGCTCTTCCTGTTTTCTTCCCGCCTGTGGTCTTCGATTTTGGCCTCTATCTTGGAGATCCGCGCTCTGAGCGTCTCGATATACGGATCAGCAATGACGACAGTTCTCGGTGGGTCTTCGTATTGCCTTGCCAGCACCTGGAATTCTTCTCGCAGGTTCTCCTGGGGTGGCGTTTCCATCTCCTGGCATCACGTCTTAGATCGCCGATTTCCTTCATAAGCATCGATAACTCCTTCTTGGCCCTGTCAATGGGTCGATCGCTTCCGGCTGTGAGGATCGAGGGGCCATCAATGTTCCCTTGTAGCACATCAAACTCCTTGTCAGAGTTCTGACTGTATGGAGTGTGTCCCAGCCGCCAATATTCACAGTCTTTCCACACTGCTGTTCGGTCGTCAGAAGCGATGTGGCGGAGAAATGCGCTAGTCGTCTGGATGCCTGCTTGGTAGACGCCAAAGCCACCAGTCTCGACACTAATCAGAACTTCTGCGACACGCTCCTCGTTCTCCCGCAGAAAGCATACTGCATGCCCCTCGAAACTGAACAGTTGGTCTTCTTCATCCTCTCGGTCTTCGCGGAATGCAAGACGGAGGTGCGGTGGCACCCATTTCAGCCCCGATGGTCGGGTGTCGCTCTCGAAGTCGAAGCTGCTGGGGTTGAACTCGGCGAACTCAATGGCGGTATCGTTGCTCGCTACTGAGGAGCTCCTCGACCGTGATCGCTGTGACGTAGGGGTCAACTCGGTCGGTCCCGGCGGCTGCCGCGTGAGGTCGGCTTGATTGCCGGAGGTAGCTCTTGTACCATATGGTGAAACCAGCTATTGCTCACCCCGGGCGCGATACGAAGATGGACGGCGAAGAGGGCGAGTGGGTCGTGCAGTACGAGCTGTAGGCCATCTTCTCCAAGCTCTCTAGCCTTCAATTCCAGTTTGTTCGGAATAGCTAGCTTTGGGCGAGAGATGAGTGTTTGTGGGTCGTCCATCATCACGTCTTCTTCCGCGCGGTTCTCTTCCACAGCATCGGCGAGGTAGGCGCCGCTTGTATCCTAGAGGTTATCGTCCACGGCACCCCTACCAAGTATGTTCAGGGCAGGGTCTTCTTCTGGTGCAGATAGGATTGACTCTTTTGGTCCCGGTGAAGATATGGTCGTCTGCAAAGTACCGGCTGAGGAAGTCGTCGAGTTGCTAATACTAGTAAGTAGCTGGATATCCTAGTGACTGTCCTACGTACTCATGCGGCCAGCTCTCACCACAGACTCTCGCCCTTTGAATTGAGGCAGTGGGGTCATGATATGCTGGCAGTGTATCATCCAATGGCGCGGCTGGTCGCCCTTGGTAGGCTGCGCGTGAAGATGATGAGTTCTTCGCTCGTTCGTCATAAGCTGCAATAGTCGCCCAAACCTCGGAAAGGCTGATGTGAGGGGGGCTCGGAGGGGGGCTGAGTACGGTCGTTAACTCCCTCATCATCAGTCGTACTGCGAGCAGAGGGTCTGGCATCGTCTTCCTTCTCTTCTGTGGTGGCTCCATCATGGAGACGAGAGATGCGGCTTGCACCATGCGTTGGAACCAGCTCGTATCACGGCCGTAGACCGCCGTCATGTTGAGCCAGGCGCCCCGAGACAGATACACTGCATCCAACGTATGTGCATGGTTATATCGATGGCTTGTTTGGATCGTGCTCGGGATGGTAGAGCCGGGTGAGGTGGGCTTGGGCGTCGCCAGGCGCGGCGGGCGCGGCGGGCGCGGCGGGCGCGGGCTTGCGAAACTGTCTGCGCAGGATATGTTGGCATGAGGGGAATGAGGTCGTCTTGCAGTGGCTTTTGCTTTGTCCTGTCGATCGACTGAGATAGGTAGGATGGTGGTCGTTATCTGTTTCGCGTTGAGTGTGAGTGCCTCGACCTCCCTCACGCTAACTTCTTGGAAGTCGCATTCATCCTCTGGTGCTATCGGGCTCGAGGGCATGTAGGACGCCTGTGTGTAAGAGCCTTCCATGGTTGCGAAACTGTCTGCGCAGGATTTGTTGACATAAGGCGGACCCAGTGAGTACGGAGGGCTTGACGTTGTGGGCTTGTTGTTGGTCTATGCTCGGTAGGTGCTATTGAGTGTGACAACAAGCCGGAACACTGTAATCGGCACATGCGCACATATGGACAGGCCTCGTAGGTGTGGCGGGTGTGTCGACGAGAACGCGACGATGGCGCGAGGCCAGGACAGACCGGGTGCGATAAGGCCGCTTATCGCGACATCTAGACAGCCTCGGCCCGTGCTGCCAATCAGACAGGAGCCCATGGGCGCGAAGAGCCCTACCGTTAGCTAAACAGAAGCATACGATGTCGCTGATATCCAGAGCAAGTCACAACGCTGCGGTACCATCTCAAGTCGCGGCGCGGCCTTTGCTGATGGGGGCGGAAGCTAGGAAGCGCTTCAAAGAGCCACTGCGCAAGGTCGGAACAGAGCCATTCGAAGACAACAGCATACAGCGGACGGTTGAGCGCGTCTGTGTCGACTAGAGACACTGTAGTGAGGGTGTAAAGATGAGAGTGCTCGGCATAAGCCACGAATGCGGCCTCAAAATGCCTGGTGGATTTATCATATGCTGTCGAAAACGCTTTGCAGTTCATCAACAGTCCTTTGCAGCGCGCTGAGGATGCTTTGCAGTGCGCTGAGGATGCTTTGCAGTGCGCTAAGACCGTTCTCTGTGCGTAGCTAGTTGATTTCTGGCTCTGCGGGGTAAGACCTGTGGTGCGAGCCAACCAAGTTCTTATCGCCTCCGATAACGTTGCAGACAGCATAATTATGTTCTCTGACTTGGCTGTGAGACCCTCTGACCTAGTTGTCGGACTGTCTGATTACCTTTCTAGTCGGAACGAGCAACAACAGCAAAGCCTCTATTTAGAATTCTGAAGAGACAGGTTTCTTCGCATCGCCTTGCTGAATACGTACTCTTTTTCTTAGAATTTATTCGCTCTGCTGTAAACATTGTTGTTGCAAGCCTTGCATCTGATTTTCGCCTGTTAAACTGTCTGCTTAGTTATCAGACTGTTGACTACCATGTCAGACACTATGATTACCATGTCAGACACTATGAGATTATGTTCAACACGTATCCGGTTAAGTCTTGTAGTCTAACCCGATTAAGCTCTTATCGCCTCGATAACGATGTCAGTCCGTCCAGAACTGGTCTCAGCCTCTATGATATTATTTGCAGTCCTTGCGACGTCATTTGCAGTCCTTACAACATTATCTGAGAACAAAGTCATTGCACGTTCACGTGATTCCTTGGCAGCGCACTGACTCGCCATGAATAGTCAACCCCGGCGCTGAGACCTACCATCACCACCTTCGACTTCAACGGGGATTTCAATCTCGCCAGAACCACACATTACCTGCGCGAACCGCTCAGATGTCCATCCAGAGAGATCGCCCCGCGCTTCGCGACCTCATAGCGACGGCGGTCACTCGCGCAAACATCGTCACCGATGACCCACAAGCCCTCGCTCGCGTGGAGCAGGAGATCGACCAACGCAGAAAGGAGAAGCGGATCCTCGAGGATGCTGCTAACAGGATGCGAAAAATCGAGAGCCTTGAGCTGATTATAGACGCGCATCTTGCATTACACAGTACGTGATATTCCCGTGGATGAGGAAAGCCTTCGTTGACCTCATGTAGAGAAGCTCAAGCACTTGCAAGCCGAGCACGATGACCTCAAGCAAGCCAGCAGCAAGCTCCTAGATCGGTACTATGCAGAGGATGACGCATGGAAGAAGATTCATAAGAGCGACCGGGACTTGATCGACCTTCTTGAGGCGAGGATGGCCAGGTTTACCGCGATGACAAACGAAAAGCGATCCGCGCAGACGACTGTCAGTGGCCATGAGGAGAAGGAATGATTACCCGACGACTGTCAGTGGCCATGAGGAGATGGAACGATGACCGAACAGCATCTTGTGATGGCATCCGCTGTATTATACTAGCAGCTCTATGCACATCCAGCGATTACATCGGGTGAAGAGACAGCAGTAGCTTGCAATGACTACAGCCTGTACACATCCAATAAGTAATCTTCACATTGTCTTTGCATTGGTGAGTCACCCTCAGAGAGAACAGTTAATAATTTCACCTGGCTTATCACATACAGCATCTTTGTGTGCGCGTGATGAAAAGTTCTACAAAGCAGTCGCGACCTGGTGCGGCCCGTGACCCTGGCAGAGCTAGCCAGGCTGTCGCTCCTCACCTGCACACACCCATTCATCATCCCCAAGGTCTGGTAGGACTTTCGAACGCACCGATTCCACCTCGCAAGGGTTGGAAGATCCTCAGAATCGACAGCCAACAGCTCTCTACATCTTTCTTCGGTTGGCCGCCTGGCTGATGCGCGCGCCTGGGGGAATCGCGCATTCAATGGGACGTCTCTTTGCGGCCGAATCGGGTATCGTGTCTTAATATTGGAGAACGAACCCCACACTTTGCAGCTGACGAGGACTTAGCACAATCGCGATAATTCCACACGTGGCACGATGGCGGATACAAGCAGTTGTCAAGCTCTACCGAGTCAAGTAATCTCTGGCTTCCATGCCTACATACCGATGTACCTATCGCCTCTCGAGACGCAGTCTTTCGTGATTGCGCATTCGTATACCAATCAGCAACCACCGCGGCGTCCAGCGATACCTACTCTCGAACGAGGATGCTCAGGCTACAACAGTTGCAGTGAGCTGGAGTCATCATTCATCACACAATCAGCCTTGGACTTGTCGTCAAAATGGCATGTCCTCTTCATATCACGCGGTGTACATACTTTTGGGTCATAACAGCGCGATGTCTCCATGAAGAAAATCTGCTTTCTTACATGATATTCATGGGTGCGCAGGGGAATGACGGCCACATACGCCCTAAGTCTTCAGATGAGGCGTCCATCAAACGCCACAGGCAGCGAGTTCGCGCACCGTGCAGATAGTGAAAACATGGTGACACTTCAACAGAGCCGATATTTGGCGACCCCGGCAGCAGAATCCGTCACATGGTACAAGTTGAGGCTTCAATGGACACTCCCGTATGAGAGGTGAAGGGTTTGCCCTTTTTCTGGAAGCTCTCGTGTATGCATATCGTCTTGATCGACTAGCCTTTCAATGTTACCCTAGTGCACATAGCATGATCACATTGTATTTTCAGTTCGATTTCACGACTTCCCTTGCACCTTGGCGGCTTCTTGAGCTCGGCCACGGGTGCTGTTTCCGCCTTCTCATTAGGCTGCACCTCATTCAGCTTCGCCGTACCCATCTCAGTCCCCTTGCTCTCGGCCTCCGCTGGTCCAGCCGCCGCAGTCTCCACCCCTTCGCACTAAAAGATGGAACGCGAGGTGGTGGTGGAAAGATCTCGTCATTCAAGGCTGCGACACCAACATCGCATCACGAATGTCATTATCCGCTGGCGTTGTTCTCATACGGCCGGTAAGTCCAGGCTTGGAGCGGATCAACGACATTGGTCGACAAAACCATTGCAGCCTACTCCCGTTATCCGAATCCGAATTTCCAGAATAAAAGTCCATGTAGTCGCCACGAGTCGGGTTCCAGTGCGCGAACAACCGGGGAAAAGACCATGTTAGTATCAACGAACAGCACCTACATCAGGATGTGCCTTTCCCACGCGTCCGCTCGCGGAGATGGAACACATCCACGATCTGTAATATACGCGACGCAATGGGGTGGTGTAATGACCACAAACTCGTCTCCACGTTCTCGGATTCACATCAATGTTTCAGCATGGTACGTAGAAAGGTACTCGAATCATGTTCATTTCTCAGGTCATCCTGCTGCCAACGTGCATGGCTGCGCTGTCATAAGAGATCCGTAATCCAACTGGTCTTCGCGATGAATAATCTCCATCAAACGGTCATCATACTCAAATGTGTACCTGCCATTTCCTCTCCATCCAGTTGTTGATGACACGCGCGATTGATTGCGCTTCCCGGACCATATCGTGTTGCACACGGTCATGATCGTCTCCCCAAAGGTCCATCAACACCTTGACTCTGTCATCAACCGCCGGGCGAATGCAATGGGCGAAGCACTCGAGGATGCCATCGCTCATAGCCTTCGCGCGTTCGAGGTGGTTCGCCGCTAGGGCTTCGCCAGAGATGTCATCGCCTTGTAGCTTGTCCGGGACATTGGCAAGTAGAGCTTCAATGAAGATCTGGTCGGAGTCATCAAGGTCATCGTCGTCACCGGAGTTGGTAGCCTCTTTGGGAGGGGCCTGGGTAATTGGAGGCGGCGCAGGACCACGTTGGGTGGCACGAGTGGATTTTTCACCAGCGGATTTAGTGACTCTCGATGACTTGGTCATACGAGCTGGCTGGTCTCGGCCCTTGGGCGCTGGTACTATGGTCAGCTAGATAATGGAACAATCGGACTGCACATACGTTTGTGGGTGGGCGGCGGCGTCTTCATCGCGGGAGGTCGCTGGCGATGTTGGGTGTTGGAGAAGAGGATGGGAGGGCGCGAAAGCTCTGTTTAGGTGGAGGCGCTATGACCCAGGCAAGTGAGAGCGGTCGGCAGGCGGGCACTTCAATTTCGAAGTGAGCGAGGATTGTCAACTGGAAATTGATTTTGTCAGTCCGCTACGACGTGTGTGCGTAGATTGCTCGCTTCTAGAGCGGTCTGTTGGCGCAGCGAAAGGACAGCATGTCAAGGTACTATCTATCTAGTCACTGTCAACTGTCGAAATGCCTGATGGATATGTAGATGTTCGACCTCTTGCCTGAACACAGGGAGATTACTCACGGCTACAGTATATATGTATCTGATCAGGCACTAGACCTGAAGCCTAGGCGGAGCACGTAGCGCAACATAATAGTTGACTACATCTAGCCATGTATACAATGAACAACCAAGGAGTTGAACAGATCCAACCCTTGCATCGAAAACATGGTTGAATACGACGACTATCGCTCAAACGAGTTCCAAGACCACGCTTCATCGATAGCATGGATTTGATGTATGCGGCCACCGCTGTCGACCGCATCTAGAAGTGCATTATAAGAGCTTACACATAGGCTTGCCCAAGCGCATATATGCAGCACCACGGGATACGTCTATATTCTACTTCAAGTACAAAGATTTCCGTTGCAGATAAAGACATAAGCAAACGCAGCATCAGATTTACACCCCCGCGTCACGAATTGCGAACATTGCCTCCAGGGCAAAGCAAAATGGCATTAGTATCTACAGCCTAGTAGCGCAGATTATACGTAAAGCGGTACATTATAAGTCGTGGTTGAGCAGCAGGGACAGCCGCGAATGCATGTTATAGAATGCTTCGATCTAGAGTGTAGTAAGTAAGTTTGCGCAAGTGTGTAAGTAGCAACCTTAGAATTCTTTTGGAATCTGCCTGCAATCTAGCCGAGATGCCGAAAAGCAACGAACGCAAATATCGCCAAAACATAAGCTGGATTTACATAGTCAAACACACGTCTAGAACGATAACAGGCTAGAGAATCTAACTGTTTGGTTGAGGGGTTAGGCGATGCCGCTTCTACATAGTATTCGCGAATAATTATACTGTATAGTTAGCTTTGCGCGAACAAGAAACTAAGCACAACTTAAGAGACGACCTAAGACAGCAGGAAAGAAGTAAAACATAGTAAGAAGTTGATACAAGAGATTCGCGTAGATTTTAAGAGTGCTTTACTTCTATCTAGTACTCTGTTTATCTAGAAGTATTATTGTTTTATTAAAAGTTATTGCACATGTATAGATCTGCTAGAGAAATTCTAAGATAAATAGTAGATTAAAAGGTAGAGAGTAGAAAGAGCTGTTGCGTACTGTGCCGGTGTTCTTTGTCTCTTCTGTCGCGGCGCAATAGTAGTAGATAAGCAGAAAGTCTGTGTTAATACTTGTATAATAAGACTCCGCGGCGATAGCTGTAGGTATTATGCTTTCTGTCTATAGCTGTTGCGTTGTAGAGACGCGTGTTTTTAGTAAACGCATATAAAACTTTAATCTGCGTGGTGTTTCTTGCATAAATTTCTAACTATCTTAACTAGAATCGCTAGTAACTTCTACCGCATCGATTATTTGGCAGAAGTAGAGGTACGGTCGACATTGCAGACAGTTAAACTCTACAGATAACCCCATCAGGGCATGATCTTGTGAACTTACTTCCGACTTTAGTACCACCTAAAAGAAACAAGATTAACATTAAGTACCGGCGCAAACTCTGCTAGAACACTTTGATAAGCGTACGGAAGAAATAGATCTAACTCCCGGGCTTCTAAGGGCCAACAGCACCCGGTTCAAAGCTGATTCGGCAGGAGAGCCATGGTCATACTTTCCCCTGTTCGTATCAAGAGTATCGTCTACCACTAACCCCCGCGGCACGTACTGCTACTCTACAGCAAAGCATTATCTAGCACCACCTTTTCTCAAGACCAACGAACTCGGATGAGCGTATGCATGATATCACGCGGCCTACAACTCACTTGCATGGCACACACGCAGAATGTTGGGGTTAGGGAGACGCAGCGAGGAAGAGCTAGACCGCAGACAATCGAAAACCTCAGGCATAAGATCAGTCAAGTGCGGTAACACGATCTGCTGCTGGATGTTGTTGGCAACGCCGTCATGCAGCGGCGCCGCGAGAATGTGAACGCGTTCCAACGGGCTATGCAGGATAAACGCGACATACCGTTTGGCTAGGGACGACGATGGTCGCATTCAATGGAGTGGGAACTTGGACACACGCCGCGGTGAAGTGCCTTCTGTCATACCCTGGAGAGGACGGCGATGCTTCCTGCATGCGGCGATTGTGTACGTGGACTAAGATATTGTCCCTTGAGAATGCTGGCAATGGTCATGTCTAGAATGGGTCTTGTTGCTCGATGTGAAGTTGTTATATGCAGTCTGAAGCCTTGTCTCCAACGCCGCTGCAGACGGTTTTGGTTTCTTCTGTTGTTTGTTCTGTTGCGGGGTATTGATGAGAGATAATAGAGGAGGAATGAGAATGAGGAACGAGATAAGAGATGAGTGATGAGGGATGGTGGATGAGCAGAACGTCGATATTGGGCCTCGCAAAGCTTTACCCAGCCGCGATGTTGATGACTGTCGTGCTTTCTCTGTGGCAGCCGCGTCATAGAGACGCGTGCTTTCCGTGAACGCCCGTGAAGCTCCAGTCTGCGGGGCGTTCCTTCCAAAAAAACTCACTAACTTACCGAGACTCGACACGCGACGAAAACGAGCAAAATAAACACTTGCATCATGATCGTATCATCAACTCACAAATGTATATCCCAGTGTATACAACAAGATCCCAGGTCGATGTCTTTCTCGGTTGATCGAAGCCAGCGACGCGGGGATTGCCGGACGGCACGTGTTTCGTTACTCAGCACCCGCCGGTGTTTCAGCTACCTTGCCTGCTCTCCAGACACCACCCTTCACTGAGCATGTATCCACTGCGACCCACCGGAGAGCGCCCGCGATGGCCAGACCGCCAGCAAGACGAGCATGCGACAGGTGCCATGCCGTGAAAGAGAGATGCAGGCGCGTCCCCGGCCAGGATGCCTGCGAGCGATGCCAACGCCTCCGCAACTCATGCCAGACCCTACGACCAGTTGGCACTGCTGGCCGCAAACCTCGGTATCAGCGCACCGAGGGTACGACACGCAGCCCGCTACAGACGGCTCGGAGCGACAGCCTTTCTGTTGCTTCTTCGTCACCCAGATGCCCAGCCTCGGCCGCGAGCCCAGCGATGCCGGATTGGGACATAGTCGCGCTGCCCAGGGCTCCATCCCCGTTCGCGGATCTGAGTGAGCGGGAGATGCACCTCGTCAAGGGCGTATCCCAAGGCCAAACGCGCATCGACCAGTTCCTCATCGCGCCAAGCTTCCGCATCTGCCACCACAAAGCCTTCGCGCGTCAGCTCCACAACGCAACGTCGTGGGTACAAGATTCGTTGATAGCCACCGCGGCCCTCCTAGCTTGCGAGTACGAGCCTGGCCCAAACCATGAGGACCGAGTCATTGGCCACAGGCGGGCTGCCTCTGCCGTTTCCACTTTACGGTCTGTTAAAGCCGTCGACCCTGGAGACGTTCAGACCGTGTTGATGCTTGCAGTGAGCGCCATCACGTTTGCCCTGCACATATCCGGGAGCTCATTAGAGATATGTCGACACACTCTCGACATCATCAAGCCCATATACGAATCGACAGTGGAGCTCAGTCCGGACTGCCAGGCCTTCGTCATCTGCCTCATTCAGGCGGAGACCGAAGAGTGCATCATACGGGGCGAGGCTCCAACCCTGCGGCTCGAAGTCCAAGAGACCGATGACATGGTTGATCGATATATGGGAATTGCCTGGCCTATGCTACCGTACCTCTACGATGTTTGCAAGATCACCGACTCGCTACGCCAGAATCCGAACCTTGATCTATCTGAGATTACGCACGCTCTGAACGACATCGAAGTCGCCGTCGAGGCCTGGACGCCAATCCTGCCCGTTGAGCAAATCAGCCGTTTTTTGCAGGAAGAGGTGGCTAGCATCATGTCTCAAGCCAAACTATATCGCTGGTCGGTGCTGCTTATCGTACATCGACTGCGACATCCATATGGCACGGCGTCAGCGAGAGGCACTGTCATTTCAAATGCTATCTTCGAGGAGCTGCGGATGATACTCCAAATCACCAAGCGCTCGGTGCCAGGCGCCATTATCCCATATGTATTTGCTTGCTTCGAGCTGGTCGATTCTGCTCAGCGCGAGATGGCGCTCGACAAGATCGACGTCGTCATCGAGTTTTCGAAAGAATTGCGAACAAAGGTCAAGAAGCAACTCATGGCATTCTGGGTCATCAAAGATAGTACGGCTCAAATACATTGGAGCGAGATCGTTTCATGGCTTCCTCAATGACACTATCGACTATGAACGATACACAGCGCAAAGAACGAAAGTCTTTAGTTGGAAGCATCTGGGTGAGATGGGACGACTATACGAAGTCGTTTGCACGGGAACAAGCACTCCGACCGCTCCACTTCTTCCAGGAACAGCGTAGCGATGCGATACCCATCATGCACACTACTCAAGTGTTCTATGGGCTGGCTGTCGCATTGCCATGCGCTTGTATTTCGTCGCCGTCGCAACCCTGATCTTCTTGCCCCACAATAGCAAGGGGATGGGGATTAGCAAGATCGCAAAGCATACAGCCGCCGTGATGATGGAGACGTTCTGTATACCCATATTGTTCGTCCACGGCGTGAGTGCGAAGAGGATGACCACGGCGAATAGGTTCCGGACAAAGACGATGCCTATCATAGCATCTCCGAGGATCTGAAGGTTGTCATGTCAGTGGGAACTCCGCTTCGAATAGACTGGGAGCTATCGACTTACCTCTTGATAGCAATCTGTCACGTATGATAGCGCGACACCACTAGCTAGGACAAATGTGAAACCGAACAGCCCG